TTATACCATATCTATTCACCAACAAATTTGTGAAGTAAGCAAGAACTGAGATAGGGTAACTAAAATTTTTCTATGCCACCCCATACGTCGTATACATACATACATAAATACATTGCATTTGGCGGGTACGAAGTATTGCACGCCAAGCGACGATATTATGGAACCTTGAATGAGTGAAGCATTAGACACCCGAAAATTCTATCAGGAAATAGGGCTGCAGGAAAATCACAGCGGTTGCCGTAGCCGAGGTGTTAGCTGTGAGAGCTGTATGAGATTACGACTCATTACTGACCATTGAGACTAGACACGGCATACGTATAATAATCACCCGGTGAGAAGATCCTTCTACTCATTACCCATGAATAGATAACAAAAGCTGAAGGATATGTAAAAACTTTTGATGAACAGGTGGCGAATTTTTGTTGTTGTGCCAAATAACAAAAAGAAAAAAATTATGAGTATGCAAAATAAATCAGAAGATCAACATGAATCTTCAATTGAGTAAGACGCGTTTCACAAGTTTCGGTTGCCGGTTCCAAAAAGTACAGTGTTTGTGCCGCTCAGCTAAGATTGGGAATCTCTACGAAATGTAGATATAGTTATTTGCAAAAGTTATTTGTAAATCTCTTAAAAACTTCTGAGTATAAAATATCTAGTACAGTCAAATTACTGTAAGACTAGTTACAGGGAATGTAAAACTTGATTTGCGGAGCTGCGGGTATTGTGGAGTTCGTCAATCTTAAAAAAGGGTGGTCTCCTTATATCCCAACTCAGAGGAGCAGCCATTTTTGACTCTCAAACAAACTATGTATTCCCAACAGTTAGCATATTTTTTTGCAGTGGGTGAAGGCTTTCGCATTTGGACAAAAATCCAATTTTAATACAACTCATTTAAGTACAAACTGACTTCAAATATAGTTCTTGTCTTAAGACCGCTTTAGTAAAATTAAGAAAAAAAATTTTCTAGAACATTTTAAAACTTTAGATTTTACCAGAACGGGTCTCTTACAACCAGTTATCAAAAAAATGACAGAGGGTTAAAATATTACAAAAAATTGCAAAGCGCCAAATTTTACTTGGGGTCACCGAAAATGGAAATTTTCTGCAGAATAAGGACGAAGGGTAAATTCATAATGTATGTACATATGTATGTATCTTAAATCGTGAGTTGCGTTTGGTTGAGGTGCTAAAATGACTTCCCCTGAAGGAAAACATGCCTTTCCTCATACTTTTAAACCAACTTCCATTTAATTTGTCGATTCTAAAGTCCCTGTAGTCAAATGAACTAGTTGTAAACTACCCCACAACTAGTATGAATCGCGTGCCCAACTAGTCAGNTCGGAAACCTGACGTGATCTGGGGTCAGATTAGAATTCAGCACGTCAAAGACCTTCGGAAAAGTATAGTCCGATTCTTGGTTAAAAACCCTTGTTGGCCTGTGTAATTCAAGCAGTTATTAAATATTCTTCATAGTTTCCATAGTTTGGCTTATTGATTGATAACAGAAATTAATCAAATAATTATATTAATCGTGTAATAAACAAAATAAAAAATAATTGAAAATGATCGAAAATAACAAAATAACAGGTCTGGTATAATTGAATACGTACTCAATTTAACGGTTTACGATATACCCAAAAAAAATTATATTATTTTGTGTACTTTATTATATTAAACTGTCGAAGTCTAATAATACAGGGTATGAATAAATCGTTTGTACTTGGTACAACTCCGGTCATTTTCGAACTAGTTCGGTTTCTGTTAAGAAATTCTTGTTGTAAACTAGTATTTTTCCTGACTAGTTTGGGATTTCACTGCAGGGGTGCAGCAGTGTTATTGCATGAGTTCCTAATTTCAGTCGGAAGTAGAAGAACTTAAAATGATTATAAATCTCTTCTAAATTTCTACATGTTTGTTTTGTCAAATTTTGTTGCAAAGAACTTACAGGAAAGCTCCATACTCCAATCATCTGTACACATGTATGTTTGTAGTATATCTATGTGCATATGTATGTATGTATTTTTAGGTTGAATTTTATCCCCTTATATTTATTTTAGTTCTGGTTTTTAGTGAAAATGCACTAACGCACACATGCACTCGCACACAACAGCATATTTACATTGTTAGTTCCCGCAGAATTTACCTGAAAGCAGGTGCCAAGATTAATGCATTTCCTCCATTACTAAGTAAGGGCATTAAAAAATTACGTGCCTTTTCGCATTTGCATTCGCTCCCATTTGAAATTTGTGCAATGCTGGTGTATGTGTGCGCATGTGCACTTCATGTGTATGCTTATTGACTTTAGGATATGGTACACGAATTACGTTTGCTGCCCAAACTGCGTTCCTGTATCCTTTGTAAATGTTGCAATTGCGCCGCCGTTGGGGCATGCGAAGGCAAGGTCGCTGCATGTGCGCTGCCCGCTGCCGATGTGTTTGCTAAGTGTGGATGATGATGTGTTGGTGTGCCTGCTCCATTATTGCCTACTTGCTGTGGCAACGATTGTCGACGGCGTCGTAGTGCTGGACTCAGATTGTACGTGATTTTCGCCTGCGACAGAAGCTCCTTGAAGACCTGTGACGAGGAAATAAAATGTTGGGGGAACAAAATGAAACGCTAGGATTAACAATTCAGATAATATACGTTTGTAATTCTTTTTACCTGCGTTATGTTTTCATTTTTGGCTGCAGACGCTTCGACGAAACCATTTTCCCAGTCTAAGGTAACCACAGATTCTGTTGTGGCATATTCAACCTAATAAACAAAAAAATAAAAATTTATTGAAATCATTATGCATGGTTTTTATGCTATATATATTTATGTACATATGTGCTTTGCAGGTAATATGCGTGCCTATGAAATGCTTGTTCCGGTATTAATTCTGAAAATTACAGATCAATTTTTGATTTTACCGACCCAACTTAGAAATTTTAAATTAACTAACTTTTTAAAAGGATTGGAATAAAAACTGGCTTGATATTCTTTTAAACTCTATGGGCTGTTCAGGATCAGCGTTGCCGCTTTGGCATTTTTAATCAAAATTGGTATTTTTTTATTTATAAAATTTAGTAATTTTGTAAATTATTTTCCAATTTGGTAACCTTTTCGATTTGGTCCTACATGTCACATAGGTCAATACCGATTATGATTCCACATTAGGTAGTGGGCAGAAATACAGGTAATCCAGAAAGTTTTGCGAGGCTAAATGTTATTGCAGCGTTCCTTGGCTACTAGAATGGTGTGATCTTTAACAAACTGCTTGAAAGTGGCTATTGCTTATATATATACATATATATATCTTTTATATTTAATTTTAATCGCTGCCGCGCGGGAAATTATTTCCATCGTGATATTTTTGTTAAGATTATGGATGTGCAATTAATCAATTAATCGAACAAGCTGATTAATCGAAAGCCGATTAGTTAATTAATCAAAGAATAGTTATTTTTGATTAATATATACATATATGTATGTGTATATTAATCAAAAATAATTTATATATTAATCAAAAATAACTATTCTTTAATGAATTGACTAATATTTTTCATTTTAAAGAGCTATATATGTATAAACGTACATATTTACGTTGTAAATATGTACTCCATAGTACGTAATTTACATGTTTGTATAGATAAGAAAAATATTGAATTTGCATACGAACATACATATTTGTGCATACAAATATACATATAAAAAAATTTCATTTGGTTTGAAAGCAAACTCGAAAGATTTCAATTAATTTTTTTTGAGTAAACAGTAATTACTCAGGATCCGATTAATCAGAATCTGATTAAAGCACAAACAGACGGCAGCGTTGATCCGGATCAACTCGGGAATTAACTGCAGTTGATCCGGATTAAGTCCGAGTTAAGCCTGTTTAAGCTTTTAGTCAAATTATTTGATTAATCAGCATTATGATTAATTAAGCAACTAAATAACCGATTAATCACACAGTTAAGATTGCATTTAAATTAATTTTTAACGCAAATAAAACAGGAATGTTATGTCGAATATACTTTATAAAAAAAGAAACGCATGGCGGGATTTCTGCAGTGGAATCGAGAGATTCACCAAGACAGCAAGGCTAAGGAAGGTTGTTGTTGTAACAGCATACAAATTCCCCAAAAAGTTTTTTGGGAAAATTGCTGGAGTGACAGTCCTTGGCCAGATATAAATCTGGGCTCGTTCGGGTAGCGTAGACCCGAAAAAAAATATAAAAGTTAAACTTTAACCTCTTTTGTTGGCCTTAGTTTGGTATGGTTGAAATCACCATGAGAAGTCCTAATTAGCTACATTTTTTATTTCTTTATGGCTAAAAGGTTGGTATTCTGCACCACGGCTACTTCGGGCTATTTTTGTCTAAATCCTGAAGTACAGGAACAGGGTAAATGTGGATAAGAAAAAGTAAACAAACAAATGTCTAATTAAACTCTGAGTTTATTTAACACCCCATTGAGAAGACTTGACAGTTGTTCAAAAACTAAAACGTTAAACTCGAGTTAAAATTCAACGGGAAATGTAGAAGGGTTATAATCCCTTCAGAGTTTAACATAACCTGGGCCTACCCAAAAGTTAAAAGTCCCAAACATTTGTGCTTCTATAATGTAAAACGTATGCAATATACAAATCTTTAAATCAATATTTTCTTTCACAACGATGTAGTTGGACTGGAGATCTTTGGAGTGTAAAAAAATTTCTTGATGTTGTTAAAAACATTTTAGGTTTTAAACTACAATTTCTAAAGAAATAATGACAGTAAAAGAAAATTAAGAGCTTTAACGCTGATAAAATTTGCATTTTTATTGTTTTAACAGCTGCAAAGAGAGAAAGCTAAGAGCAAAAAAATGTGGTTGTGGGTGGCTAGCAAATGGTCGATGAAAACAATTAAGCAGTGGAAGTGCTAAACTCCTCTAGGAATACTTTATTGAAATGATGACTGATGAGCAATCACTGCCTGGCAGCGAAAAGTCCTACGGATTCAAAACGCAATGTACCAGTTCACTGTTTAATGGAACATGAATAACAACCTCAGAGGAAGCTAAGGGCAAAAGACAGTACTGAATTGAAAAAGGCGTATGTATGCGATGTAAGAATAAATCGGATTAAGTCTGGAAAACAACAACAAATATGTGTTCTTTTTTATGAGATAAGTTTATGTATAACCAAGTGCAGCAAAAGCTATTTGACTGAAATCAACCAATTGCGACCAAGCCGAGTATGAAAATTGCACAACTCAAAATTTTTTAAAGCGCACAAGTAAAGTATACATATATAAAAGTGATACTAAAGGGGGGAAAATATTTTGCTACTATATTCAAAGCAAAAAAAAAAAATTATTGAAAAATTCCCATCACAAAAGATTTTTCCATATATGCACTAGAGCTGGACTATTTATGATTACGATTACATTTCAATTACGATTCTTAATTGTGATCCATAATTATAAACGATTACGATTGTTTTAATTGTAATCATAAATGTTAGCATTACGATTACAATAATTTTTATCTTAAAATTTTAAGGGCTAAGATTACTGTAATCATAATGACGAACTACATGATTACGAACACTGTAATTGAAATCCTAAAAATTTTAAGATTACAATTACAGTAATTTGTAATAACAAATAACAAAAAACAAAATCACCAAACACCGACTGAAACCAAACTGATGACGAACACTGCAACGAAGACTGGACAATTGACTTTGGCGCTTGCTTATCGGAACCCCGGGCCCCGTCGTTACGGAGTCTAATGAGGACACCCTTTTTACCTCTAGCCAGTAGATAATCAAAAGTGTTCTCGGTTGTACCAACCATAGTACACCAGAAGCACAAGCAGCAAAACAATCTGTATCTAAGGATGCCAAACCAGGTATCCCTACTAGCCAAGACCTCCCGCCTTATTTCAAAGCTGCCGGCAGTACCAACCCCAGAACAACGACGTCGGGGGCAGAGCGGAAGAAGAAACATAAAAAGTGCCTGAACCAAATCAGGAAAGGTCGCTCCTATGAGTTAAAGGGGAATGAATACTACAAAACCCGGCGAAACCCCATATGGAGTTTGATTCCTCTGGATCCTTTCGAGGACACAGGGTTGTCAGATGTACGGAGAATACTTCTTTGGACCTCTTACCTGGGTGCGTTGTTAAAATAAGCGGAGTATTCGACGGTCTTAAACAAAGGCCGATTCCAACTTAGGACGTCCGTCAGACACCACGTGCGCGTATCTGGTTACCCCCCATGGAGGAACCGGGAGAGAAAATGCTGAGGTGCCTAAAGTTCGCGAACTCATACCGTGTATAAAAGACTAGCAGCTTATAAAAGTTGAGAAACCAAATAAAACCAGCAGATCTCTGCTCTTGGCAATTTGCGAAGGATCCATTGAGGCTCTGTCAAAGCCGGACAACAAAAAAAAAGGCTTCTAACGAAGACGACTGAGGAGGTAGACGAGGAGGTAGACGATGGGAACAATTTGCATAAGGACGTCAACATCACCCATGCAGCCCCCGACGAAGATGAATTGCGTACAGATTAACCTGCAGCACTCAACATTAGCGACAGATAATCTGTCAATCCTTCTCGGAGAGGGAAGAATCGACGTCAGCCTAATCCAGGAGCCGTGGGTCAGAGGTGATTAGATCCACCGACTTAACAGCAGCACACATAACTCCTTTTATAGTGGTGGTATAGGTAAACCGAGAGTATGCATTCTAATCAAAACAGTATCAGTGCATTTCTTTGTTCAAATGCCATAAGTGTAGGGAATTCAGAAAACATTAGAAGGACCAAGATTAGTACTACCATACACTTATACGAAAAATTTAGCTTCCGTCCACTTTAGTTACTGAGGAAGTGATTATCCTAAAATGATAGTAAAAGGGACTTACTTACATGCTCCATTCGCAATCTTCTGACCCAGAGAAGTTTAAAAAGGGATACAAGAAAGAAAATCCGATATGCGATATACACGAATAACCATCCTTAATGGCTTCAAGTTCAGAAACCATTAATATATTTCTAGATATACAAATGCAGCGGAATTTATAATAAACAGTTCAGGTGGTGTAGACCACAGCTCAATCACGCAACCACAAGTGGTAGTAAAATAGGGTGGGATATATGTACTTCCAACCCATACGAATCTCCTTGGAATACTCATAGACTAAAGCTAGGATCACACGATCTGTACATTTGGCTAAAAATTTGTCAAATTCATAGACAAATCATGTGAACGCTAAATTACATTTGTCATTTATCAGAAAAGCCAAATATTTGCCTTCTTGTGGCAAATGAAAAACAACCCTGGTGGCCAAATCGTGTGAACGCAATGCTGCTACATAAGCCAAATAAAAATTACGCAAATGACCAAATATCTGATTTGCCACTTGATGACAAATGCCAGTGACAAATATACAAATATTGTTGAGCGGT